CGAATTTTCCGCGTAGCGCATATGTATGTTGACATTGATGCAACAGCAGCAGCAAACGCTCGACAATAATCACCAGAGTCAGACGGAGCAAGACTACGTGAACGGTGTACCTGCCGAGAATCACACGGATGACAGGTCTCACAGCGAGGCTGAGCGCTTGGCGAGGGAAACCGCGGTCGTCACTCCAGGAAATGGTAGCGTTGGAGATTCCCCTACGCACTGGAATGACGTAGACAACGACAATGAGGAAGAAGAGACGGATGTCGAAGAAGACAGCGGCTGGATCACGAATCAGCCGATATCGTCGACTATTGTTCAGCAGCAGCAAGCGTTTACCACCACAAATGGCGATGTCATCCTACCGAATCCCGATCCGTCGGATTTCGGCGACATAACCGTGACGAACTCGACGAGAGTGCGTGTGGGTAATGAGACCATCTACAATGGTCCGGTTACCATAAACCAATTCGTTTACACGAATCCTACTCCGAATCAGGATGCGATTGAACTTGACGTTATCCGCCCTTCCGACAATATCTCGAATTTGTCGACAAGTCAGGACAACGGAGTCCCAAATGAATCAATTTTTCCACAAAATATTGAATTAAATAAAGGTAATAGTCAATCATTGCAACGCAATAGATTGTTTAGGCTCGTTTCTTTTAATTTTTCTATACTTCTTTCTTTTTGTAAGTACAAATATGTTTAAGCACAAAATCGCCGAATAATTAAAAAGAACAGGTCCCTTATAAGTTTCTGGATCATAGAATAACAACAGGACACAGTTTTAAAAAATTATAAATCGCAACTCACTAAATTGAATTATAATGCAATTATGCTAATCATTTTATAAATTGAATATAATGTAAATATTCTTTTATCGATGTCATCGCAACGAGACATTACTCTAATACTTTTCCTCATAAGAGAAAATACACTATCAAGCTTATAATTTGAAAGCGTGTGTAAGAAATATTTTCAATATCTAAATATCATAGGATGAATCAATCTTTGTCCTAAAAATTTTAAATATATTAGTAGGACGTAATGATTACTTGCGGACAAACTGATTTTAATCTGATAAATTCAAAGACATCATAGAATCAAATTCTCTTTGTTTTATATGTAAACATTTCAACACTTTGTGTTGCTTACGTATCCAGCCAGAAATGATTAGTCGAATCGACGTCGATATCGATGCATTGATAAAGTCGATGTCAGGTACTGATTGATATCTTTGTCATTTTCGATCTCATCATAATTGTTTTCATATGTCAATTAAACGATTGCGAATATTTTTGTAAAATTTCTATTATCTTTTATCTGGCCCCACATCCAAATGACAAAAATATATATATCAGTATTCGACATCAATCATTCATCGATGCATTGACGTCGATTTGACTAATCATCTCTAATTAGATCATAGACAAGTCTATGAGTTAGATAGTACTATTTGAGATAATTGAAAAAGCAAATATATAAAAACGGATAAATGGAGCATATGTTTTAATTGTCGAATATCAGATAAATGCGATAAGAATCAGTGATGTACGATCTTTATTTATTTTGAAGTAGCTTCGATAATTCCTCCCTTTTAGAACATATATGTCTTTATTTATGTGAAAGAAACCTATTTACAAACTTTGACCAAAACCAGAGCATGTGTTTTCGGAAGAACAGCCATTTTTTCTCTTACGTGAAAGATAATATATAATATTATTCGAACTGTTCAAATCGCAACAATTTTTAAAAGTAATTTCAATGATACGTCATTAATATCATTAACTCCTTTGACCATCGCAATGGTCTTGTCATACTATTCTACAACATATAAGTTTAATATCGACGATATTCTAGATTAATAATTGTTACACTTTAGACGCGCCACAAGAATTAAAGCTAAATATAGAAGAGCTATCTTTTACCTCACGCAGTATACATGTGTTAAGCTATTCATAGGTTGGTCCGATATTGCATGCCGCAAATTCACTCGATTGTGAATAGAATAACAGAAAAGTGATATAAATCAAATAAGAATTATAATAATGCTTTACGTGAGGGGGACTAATAATGTAATTAGAATACTCCTTTTGTACACACGTGTTATCCGTCATAATAACTCTGTATACATTTCATCAAACGGTATTAAGTAGTTTGTGAAATTGTTTTAATACAGCTTTTTATAATTATTTTAGTGACGCAATGGCTCTGGACGTGGAAACGTGCGGTTTTATCGTGCGTTCTAACTTTAATACTTCTAGCTATTGTAGTGCCCATAACTGTACATTTAACTCATCAATCGGACGCATCGGTCTTTCCGGAAATTCCAACCTCATCGCTCGAGGGTAATTGTCTATTTGGAAAATTTTTCGTTTTGCAAGCGCGATATGAAGCAAGCATTATCTTATCACGATTATAAATTTAAAATCTGTATCTTGCACTTTAATATTTGTATTTATTCCATTTATTCGTCTACTTAAAAGCGTTTTTTTTTACTTTCCACGTTTCATATATTATATATTTCAAAACACTTTACATTGTCATATATATATGAGAGTAATATTCTAGATTTCAATGCTAAAATTGGCGTATGCATCTGATTAAGATTGTCACATTCAGTGTTAAATTAAGAAGCTTTTAATTTGTCTGATATATTTTGAACCTTTTGCATAATATGTATTTTATTTTCATGACTTTCAGGTACAAACGTAACAGACACTTCGTTACGTTTTGTCGAGAGGGACGAATGGGGTGCGCTGCCGCCCTTGGTGCCCCTAATAAAAAGGAAGCTGCCAGTACCGTATGTAATTATTAGTCACTCCGCGACATCGGTCTGTATCACTCCATCAGATTGTGCATTCCAAGTGAGATTCCTTCAGTATTCGCATTTCAACGATTTCAATTTTGTGGATAT